TACACTTTCTGCACTCCAGCGTTCTCTAGTCACCAATAATTGAATATATAGTGCTTTCAAATGTGCCATATAGTTTATGTGGCATCTAATGGACAAATCAATCTCTTTACCATATTATCTGTTTTGTTTTATTGCTTGTTTAGAATGAAAACACAGGAAATGTAAACCAGCAGTGCATTAGAAGTTTGCTTTGTACACCTATAAAAAATGGCAAGAAGAATAAAGTCATAGGTAAAGCCTTTCCATTAGCCTATACTCTACACTTATTTTTTTAAAAATGTATTCCAAACTACTTCTTTCTTTCAAGTGTAAATTTTTGTTTTAAAACTTGAGATTGATATGAGGGTACAAATGGTTACGTTACATTGTTTTCATTTCTAAGGTAAAGTTCAAGTTCGAGGTGAGTCCTTCACCCAGGGGGCCTGCCAAACACCCTCACACTGTGTACGTAAAGTGTAAATTTAAAGAATCAAATGTCAAAAAAAGATGAAAATTAGGATAATGAAGAATTTTGAAATGCCAAAAGACATTTGTGTAGTACTTTTATAAACTATGATATACTTTTGGAATTAATTATTGAGCAGAATTTCTTTGTTTAAAATGATGCATTGAAATTTAGGACACTAAGAGATACGAAGTGGATAATGTGTCTTGTTTTAGAGTCTTACGTGCTAGATTTTAATTCTTTCTCTGGGATTTAGACTGTAGGTTGTTTTGTTCATTAATAAATATTTTTTGAGCATGACACTGTTCTCAGTAGTTGGGATATAAGTTCCCAAAATAAGTGAACAGAACTGAAATCTCTGCCCTCTACCTCAGGAATGGTGGAAGAATGCAGTGGAATAATGTCTCCCTTTATTAACATATTTATTTCTTGATATTGCAATTTATATTAATTTCCAGTCCAATTTCTCTGCCACCAGCATAATCCCCTGCTCTTTACTTATTTTGGGTGGGAAAGAGTTTGATGAATGACTTGTAATTGTTCTTCAATTTTAAAAGAGAGAAACATAAATACAAACTCATCTGATGATTATATTACCTATTTTAGGATACATAAAATAAAGTGTTTTTATTTTTGCTTAGAAGTTTTTTGAGCGTGGCGCTTCTTAAAGCAGTCTCCAGGATGAAGTCCTGGCTTCCTCTCGCATGTCTCACAGTAGAAATGGTTTCTCTCCTTCCGCTTTGCTCATTTTTTTCTGCTGCAAACCATGCAATCCCTTGCTGATTTTTTTTCATTTTGCATTATAAAACGCATCTTCCCATTTATCCTTCCTGTGAGAAGATGATGGTTTTACCCTCTTTCTTAAATTTCTCGTCCTCACATTGCTTACAAGCTGAGTGATGAGATTTCTCCTGTAAGAAAGATGTGTCTGCACTTTTTCTCCACTGTCCTTCTTATCTAGTGAGTAAGGGATGTAGCTGTTCCCAGCTGCAACTTCCATCAGCCAGAAGAATAATTTTTTCCACCATCTGAAGGACCTCCTGGTAAATCCATAGCATCCACAGTACTGATCAACTCGGTCCACTTTTCCCATAAACTTCGTGTATTCTAAAAATAACTACCAATTTTTCAAGTTGAACAGGCTGTTTCTTCCTATAACCAGTGATCAACTGTGTTTAAAGGCCAAAGAACGTCCTCAGTATTATCACTGACCTGTCATGGGATGAGAGGCACATCATTTTCATATCACATAGATAGGAACGTAATTCATATTCCTGAAGTTTCTTCTTTTTTGGGTCACTTGGAAAATCCTTCTTAGAAGCTATAACTGTTCCTGTTATAGGTATTTTCATTTTATGCAGTTCCTGAGCAAGTTGAGGGCTTATGTAGAATATAACCAAAAAACTGTGTTGGAGGTCTTCTGACATTGGAGCGGAACAGGAAAATCCTCATGTCTGACAAGGTCTGACAGAATTGGAAGGGGTAGACTCAGGTGAAGTGGGGTTTTATATGCCAGTCATCTGTGATTGACATAGTGAAAAAAGTCTGAATTGTCAATGCTCTGCTAAGAACCTGGAAATAAAGAATATATGAGTACCTTCTAAAGGCTTAACTTTACAATTAAACCCCCAATGGAGGCCATGCACAGTGGCTCATGCTTGTAATCCCAATACTCTGGGAGGCCGAGGTGGGCAAATTGCCTAAGCTCATGAGTCTGAGATCAGCCTGAGCTAGAGAGAGACCCCATCTCTAATAATAGCTGGGCATTGTGGTGGGCACTTGTAGTCCCAGCTACTCAGGAGGCAAGAAGATCGCTTGAGCCCGAGTTTGGGGTTGCTGTGAGCTGTGATGCTACAGCACTCTACCAAGAGTGACAAAGTAAGACTCTGTCTCAAAAAATATATAAATAAGTAAAACCCCAATGGAATACTACATAGGTATATAAATTTACCTTAAACAGTCTGGATAGTTTTGGGGTTACAAGATTTGACTGTAATTTTATTGAAGGAGAGTATCAGTCAGAAAGAGGGAGTAGGAGGTATCATTAATGAAAACAGAAAAATCTTGGCATTATATATAAATATATATATATATAGAGAGAGAGAGAGAGAGAGAGAGAGAGTCTCATTTTATCCCCCTTGGTAGAGTGCTGTGGCGTCACAGCTCACAGCAACCTCCAACTCCTAGGTTTAGGCAATTCTCTTGCCTCAGCCTCCCGAGTAGCTGGGACTACAGGCACCAGCCACAACGCCTGGCTGTTTTGTTGTTGCAGTTTGGCCAGGGTCTGGTTTGAACCCGCCACCCTTGGCATATGGGGCTGGCACCCCATGCACTGAGCCACAGGCACCGCCCAAACCTTGGCATATATTGAAAGTGCCCATCCAGCTTCTGTCCAGGCATAAGGGAACCTAGTGTGGAAGTGGACGTGAAGAGTTGCATCAGTGTCCATTGAGTATTCTGACCACATGGTGAGGTGGAGACTGACGCCTCAGGTCACAGCCTATATAATTCCTTAAAAGATCCCAGTCCCTTTGCCAGTATACATCCTACTGTGAGATGGAGACATAGGCTTACTGCCGTCAAACATTCCATGAATGTAACTTCCCTTATTCTGATTTCAGGCCCATCAATCTGACTTCCCTTTTACCGGTTATTTTCCTGTCTAAGGTCGGTTAGCTTATGGGGAGAGAATGCATTATTCCTTCCTCTCATATATACCCACCGGTTGCTTTGACGGTTATTTCACCGTACATTAGTGAGCTGGACTTGAGGCGATGGGCGGGAGCTGCAGGTGCACATCCTCCTGTTTCTGGTGCAGACCTTGCTGTGCGTTAGTGCTATTCTGATTTGGTGAGTCAGTCTTGTCCTCTTAGTTACTGTGACTCCACCCCCAGAGAAACGGATCTGTCTTCTGCATGCCAGTCTGTTTAATAGTTTCTCAGCCTACCAGGCTGAGGGTCAGATCCTGACCTTGGTGAGTTGCACATTAATGCCTCTAGGAAGGCAGCATGCTAACTCCCCGCCAGGCTGTTTGGTCAGCTACACTCTTGTGCAGTTCTCAGAGAAAAAAGTAGAGGCTAATAAGTATGTAAGCTCCTTTTAAAGATTATCACCAATCATATCTCTAACCTAAGCAATAAAAGTAAATTTCTTGAGGGTGCCTTACAATGCGGTACCCAGTAAATGTTATTAAATGTTACCTCGTAGGGAGATCAAGGGTAAAATTACATCATAAATGGTGTACTTTTTAAAATGCTTTTACATGTAAGTCTAAAGATTTACTATAAGTTGCCTTGGACCTTTGAGAATGTGAAATTAAATTCCAGAAGGAATGCATTATTTATCAGTAGGTTGTCATAAGAAGGATGGCAGAGTGGCAGCTTGCCACATCAAGTCACATCTTTTCTGGAGCAGCGTTTCTTTGGAGTAATGACTGGGAACGGGGAGTGGCTGGAATCCCCTTATGCCTCAGGCTGTTTCCTTGTTTTATGAACACACTAAACCAGAGCCAGCTGGGTGACATGCAGAGAGCGAGGACTGGAAATTCACAGGACGTGGATTCACAGCACCATGCTTGTGCCACTCTTCTTTTAAGTGTGTAAATGGTTATGGGCACAACAGTCACCTCTGTAGCGTTGAACTGAATAACCCTTCAAAATTCACATTCTGTGATCCTGTCACTATTTCAGACAAGTTAGAAAATAAAAATAATCAGACTTTTCTTGGCATACACTTTATGTCACCCTGTTTCATGACAGAGCCTAAAGTAAGCAAATGTTTATAATGGAGAGGAAAAATTCCATGTAAGTTAAAAGAAAAAAGAAATGCTTCCTCTCCCGGAGTGGTTTTGGTGAGGGGGGATGGCATAGTCAAGTTGATCCCAAAGAAGAGCGGGAAAATGTCCAAGGTTCCTTGCTGTTTTATAAGTGTGACAAAAACCAAGAATTGGAATTCTGGCCTATACTTACGTATCCACAGATGCAGCGTGGAAAATATCATGATTGTAGATAATTTGTCTTCCATGTCACAGACCAGATTCCACTATTATGTAATTCTCACAGAGAATCCCCACAGAGTTACAGGCAGAAAGACAGACAAGCCCATGTGTTTTTTGTAATCTTCTTCCTTCCCCCTCACTTGTTTCCATTACTGACATTTAGATGAAATTATAGATGTTAGACCAGTATGGGGCCTGTTGTCTCATCAAATTTATCCCCTGAGGTATGGTTTCATATCAGATGTTTTCTTAGCGTTCTGGCTAATACAGAGTATTTCCACCACTTCACTTCAGTACTATTAAGGAAATTTCTCATTCAGTATTCATTTAGTTTAACCAATTATTTTCCCTATTTATCAGGCTAACTATGCTCCCCCCACCCCCATATTGTATTTACAAGAAATTTTGATGCCTATTACTCCATGCCAATTTCAGGGCAGATTTTGAAGAAATAAGTCCCATTCCTGGGCTCCTCCCACCCCCCAAAGAACATTTTAGAACATCTCCACTTTAAATGGCTTACATTTCCATCTCTTTGTTAGTAAATAAGTATGATAAAAATTATAGTGTTATACTACATGTTGTTTGACAGAGAAGTGTGAGAGAGAAGTATGTTTGTTAACTGGCAAACTCATTACTATCATAATCCTCTCTGGTCTACGCTATAAGAAAATTCTGTTTTGTATTTTCACAATGAATTTTTAAGTTTCTTTTGCATTCAAACTTGTTCTGTAGCCTGTTCGAACTTTCTACACAACTTATATCAGTCTGGTGCTCCAAAAGACACTT